CACACACACATCACACATACCACACACACACCATACACACACCACACACACCATACACACATCACACACACCATACACACATCACACACACACATCACACACACCACACACACACCATACACATACTACACCACACCACAAACACATATCACACACACACCACACACACACAAAAACATACACACACCACACACATACCATACACACACCACACACCACACCACACACACATCTCACACACACCACACATAACACACACACACACACAGTCGGGAGGGAACGACAGACAGACAGACAGACAGACAGACAAAGAGTAAAAGAGCAGTGGCCCAGGTGCCCCTTCCACAGGGTCCAGTGAAAAGTAAACCACAGAGTCCCAGTTCGTAGGCAGGGACTTCACCAGCTGCCACAATAAATGCCGAGCCAATCTCTTTAGCAAGCCCGCTACAGCCACTTTTGGACCAGAGTGGGAGACTGCCCTGCTCCCCTCAGAAATCATTATGTAAGAAACAGAACTCTTCATGCTCCTCTGGTCGGTCTGCAGCATTTTCAGTCTCAATACTAAACCAAATTTTGTATGAGGAGCCATCCCACTGTGCCAAGTGGCTCTAACATTTACGATGAGCACAATGAACTTTTATACCCAAACTGACTATCACTTTTACAACACTAAGGGATAACATTTCATTTTAGATGTGCATAGTTGTGCTCATTAAGAAAGGCTATCCTTTTATACCAGAGAGCCAAGGAAAAGGAAGAATTCAGTGTAAGGCATCACCTCCATTCCAGATGCCTAGAAGAGCTACTTCCTGTTTGGGGACCAGACACTGAATCTTCACAAGGAAACATACCTGGACTGAGGCATTGCCCCTCTGTGAGAACATCTCCCAGGGTGACAGACAAAAACTGGTACTTGGGTCTCTGCCAGCACCAGTATCTCTTCTTTTTGGTCACCAGACTCAGAAGCTGCAGCTTGTCCGAGTCATTCAAGTGTGAGACTGAGATCAGGTCTCCTCCAGCATCCACTTCTTTGAGGAAATTCCGAGTCGCTTTGGCAAACATTTTGTCAGGTTCGGATTACCTGAAAAATGAGATTAGCATAGAGTCAAATATGGAGTTATTTTGTGTCTTTTTTTCTAAAATTATCATATTTCCTTATAGTTCCTATAGCTAATGTGAAAGAATGTGTCCTCTCTGAGAAACCATCTGATGTGAGTTCAGTTGATGATAATGAAATCAAATCAAAACAGGGAGAAGCTCAAACACAAGATTTCAGTCGGCATAGGCTAGAAGGCTATACTTCCAAAACAAGCAACCCTGAAATCCCAGTGGCTTACAGCCCTGGTTCTCAACCTGTGGGTTGCAATCCCTTTGGAGTCACAAAGTGTCACAATACCTTTCACAGGGGTCACCTAAGACCATCAGCAAACACAGGTATTTACATTACGATCATAACAGAAGGAGCTGTATTAAAAGGTCACAGCATTAGGAAGGTTGAGACCCACCAACTTACAACAATACAGGCTTATTTGGTGAGCTGGGCTTGATGGTGGTACACATCTGTAATCCCATGGAGCAAGGGCGGCAGAGTAACACACTCAATGGCAGCCTGGTCTGTATGTGGGTTCCAGGCCTAGACTCCATCCCAGAAGAAAACTATTTGTTGCTTATACTGCATGCCAATAAAGACGGAACAGGAAAGGTCGGCGATTTTTCATTTTATTTTGGAAGGGTTTTTTTGTGTGCGTGCGTGCGTGCGTGCGTGCGTGCGTGCGTGCGTGCGTGCGTGTGTGTGTGTGTGTGTGTGTGTGTGTGTGTGTAGACAGGGTCTCATATCTTAGCCCATGCTGGCCTGGAACTCATTGTATAGCTCAGGCTGGCCTGGAACTCTGAACAATCTTCCCACCTCAACCTTGGAAGTTACTGGTATTATAGGAGTAAGTCAGCCAGCACCTGGTTGAGAGTTTATTTATTGTGGACATTCAGATGATCAAAGGGGAAACTACCATCTTGGACAGTGTCAATCATTATACAACATAAAAGAGAGTTCTAGAAGGTCTCACATTAGCAATTAAACATCCCGGCACAAAAGGTACTGATAGCATGTTTACTTAGAACTTGTCAAAACACGGATTTAACCAACCTTGAGAATGGAGACTGCAACCCTACCAAGAACCCGGCAGGCAGAGACCTGGGGATATTTGTTGACATAATGAGTTCCAAACATTCAATCAACAGCAGATTTGCGATATTAAAAAATAATTGCATTGTATTGAACACATGTAGGCTTCTCCCTTAAAACAATGCTGTAGTAAGCAAAAGACCAATTTTATAAACAACGTACAGGTGATTTAAATACACCAGATGCTGTGTGCAGGATGTGTGCAAACTGCACCATTTTGTTGGCTAAGGACGATGGTCCCACATTGCCAAGTCCAGCATGGCTTGATCCTGGAGACTGGCCTCAGTCATTGAAGAAATGGACAGAGAGACACATGTTCAGAAAATCTGGAATCAGGTGGGCTGTGCTCTCCCTGGTGGAACAGCATCTACAGCAGCAACTTGGAAACTCAGAATGTTGATTTTATACATCTGAAATCCAAATCGAGGGGGCTGGTTCATTGTACCCAGCTGAATAAGAGGCAGGCTCATGGCAGACAGCTGAAGAAGAAGATGGATTTAGTCAAACTTGGGCAGGAGGGCTCCACAGGGAAGCAGCCTCGGGCTGGAGTCATCTGGGAGGAGGAAGCTGCGGTTGACAGTTCTGCACACACTGTCAGCTTCCGCACTTGGCAGAAGAGGGCTTTGCCATCTCACTCTGAGCCTCAGAGGTTTTCCCTTCCCAGAGGTCTGAGGCATCAGGTCCTTGGCATGGTTGTGCCCCAGTCAACAAGACACACTCACTCAGAACTTCATCTGCTCCTTACACATTCACTCAGGGTTTCCTCCACTTCCCTTCAGTGGTACCTAGGGACCACTGCAGTTCTGTGAGAAGTCAAAGACAGATTTTCACTACATAGTGTGATCTTTCCTGCTCAGAAATGAGTACTAGGTAGCTATAAATTTTTAACCCAGAAATAAAAGTATAGTCACACTTCAGCTGGAGAGAAAAAGGAAACCTGGGAAGATATAAAGGGAAAGTAGCATATTTAGTGGGCGTGTAGGCTAGTGTAAGTGGGCCAGTTTTATGGAGGAATACCCTTGTTCCTTCCTCATAACAACACAAGAAAAATTGGTAATAAATCAGGATTTCTTTGAAGAAAATAAAACCATAAAAATGGTAGGAAGTGCAGAGAAATATTTTTTGGAATCATAGGATAAAAGGACATTTAAAAAGACAAATTGTAATCTGAGTAAATATTTGCAATATTTATTTCAAGAGGATTTATTTCAAAACAACTCTTAGAGGCCAGAAAGATGGCTTAGTGGTTAAAAGGACTCCCTCTGTTTCAAGCACCCCCTTGGAGGCTTACACCTCTTGGGGAATTCCCTTTCGAGGGGGTCTGATGCTCTCTTCTGGCCTCCTCACACACTGCAGATACCTGGCCCACAGACATACTGTGAAAACAAAACACCCCTATATAAAATAAAAATAAATAAATACCAAAACAAAATTTTACAAATCAAATACTTGAGTAGAAGAAACACTAAAAATTGTATGTTACCACACATAAATTGAACATAGTTGTATATATACAGATATGCACAGATTTCAAGCCACATATTTAATATTGCACGAAAAAATTGAAATGACACTAATTTGCTTGCTGTGGATATCATTCTGTATAAATAAAACACTGATTGGCCAGTGGCCAGGCAGGAAGTATAGGCAGGACAAGGAGAGAGGAGAATTCTGGGAAGTGGAAGGCTGAGTGAGGGAGACACTGCCAGCTGCTGCCAGGACAAGCAGCATGTGAAGATGCTGGTAAGCCACGAGCCACATGGCAAGGTATAGATTTATAGAAATGGATTAATTTAAGATGTAAGAACTAGATAGATAGAACCCTGAGCCATTAGGCCAAACAGTTTAAATAATATAAGCGTCTGTGTGTTTATTTTATAAGTGGGCTGTCGGACTGCTGGGGCTTGGCAGGACCCAGAGAGAAAACTCTCCAGCTACATTTGCTTGTTAATTTTATTTTTGTTTCTTTGGTTTTATTTAGGCTTTTTTAAAGCTGAGTATGTAACATCCTAGGCTAGCCTCAAACTCATAATCCTCCTGCCTCATCCTCCCTAGTATTGAGATTACCATGGTAGCCATCACGCCCAGTGAAACAGCATAATGTTACAGCTAACTACAAACAAGTAAACACGTCTGATGACAAGAGCTGGTGTTTGTCTGTATTCTTGCCCTGGAACTTGGCCAATCCCTTGGTCTCCCAACACTCCTGGAGTTTAACAGCTGGGTGTAGACTTTACCCTGTCTGATTCACTTTCTTCACCACTCGCCTTCCCTGGGGTTTCAGAAACATCTGCCTCCCCCACCTCTGCAAAGCACCTCTTCCTTCGTCACAATGAAGCAGGAGCTGCTTCAGCTGATTCTTGTATAGTCAGGGTGAAAATAAACGTTCGAAGAGAAGCAAAGTTCCTGTTTGAACAACGGCCTGCAAATACTATGACTAAGGCACTTGCCTTAAATGGAACATTCACTTATTCATTTGCCAAACTGTTAACTGAGTCATTCATTAAGAATTCTTGCATACACACTAGGTTCTGGGTTGAAGTACTTAAAAAACCACTAGGTTTATGCTGGGTTTGGTGACTGCATGCCTATAATCCAAGCACTCAAATAAGCCAGAAAGATAGTTGTGAGTTCTAGACCAGTAGGCCTCTCTGTCTCTGTCTCTGTCTCTGTCTCTCTGTCACACACACACACACACACACACACACACACACACACACACACACACTACTTTATGGTAACTATTGGCAGATAATGGTGGAGAAGGAACAACAGAAAATCCTGTCTATTCAAGCGGACAAGGGCCCCAGTGTGCTAGGAGAGTCTGTGGCCTCCAGGCTGCACTTTGTAGCCAAGGAGAATCCGTGAGGGCTGTTGTGACAGAGCAGCATTTACAGAAGCAGGGGCCAAGGCGTAAGGGAGACCAGGAAGGCAGGCAGGCTATCAGCAAGTTTCTAGTGTCCATGCTGGTGCTCTGCCGCCACAGACTTAGAATGCTTAGGAGGCTTTGGGATTGACAAGCATTGCAAGACAGAGTTCCAGAATGGAGACATGACAGGAACAGGCAGGGAGGTCCCCTGGACCAGAGCCTGAAGGTCCATATACCTCTGTGCGAGTGTCAGATGAGCAAGATCTATGAAAGGGTGTGACCAGAGAGCAAAGGGATCAGCAAAGTCACTTAGGTCTTCTAAACCACACAGTGAGGTGGGGGCAGGCAAAGGTGCTTGCTGCCAGATCTGACGATCCCGGTTCGATCCCAAGGCCCACAGAGAGGAAGGAGGAAACGGACACCTGTAAGTTTTCTTCTTACCTCCACAGCTGTGCGCGCACACACACACACACACACACACACACACACACACACACACACACACACACACACACACACAATCCATAAATGCAAGCAGGGAGTGGGTAGGAGAGAAACAGCTTAGAAACAGATGCAAACCTATGGTGCTCTAAACTGTCAGTATCCTAAGGGGGGAGATGCAGGCCTGGTGAATGCACTAGAACTGCGGTTGGGTGACCAATGATGACACAGGATAGGAGACCCACGAGGACATCCTCCAGACAGTCCAGGCAGGTGGTGGGTGATGAAACGGCTCAGCCGGTCACCAAGAGATGGATTCAGGAAATTGAGGGCAGCAACTGGCACGGCTGTCCAAGGAACAAGATGAAGGATTTGTTGTACCCAAAACAAAGAACTTGGAACAAAACTGGGTCTCCCCTTTGGTGTGTGAGAACTCATCCGGATGGTAGAACAAGCTATTTAAGTTCGTCCTTGATGTTGGGATTTTTTTTTTCTTTTATAGTCTCTAGATTCTTTTCTGAAACAAGCTGAATGGGAGTTCACAAACCCATCTTCACATCAAAAGGGTTTCTATGGCGCTGATGTCAGG